GCCCCCGGGGCCTGCCCAGCCCCACGCCGCCGTCCCAGCAGTGCCTTCCTGTGCCCCCGTCCCCTGCCTGTGCCCCCCCAGCTGGCCCTGGGGCCACGGTCCCTACCTGCACCCACGCAGCACCCAGGTCGATGTGCTTGCCCACCGGGCTTGCGGGTGTCCCCACCGCGGTGCCCTCCGACCGGGTAGGTCAGCCACAGGCATGGGATGTGCTTCAGAGCACTGCAGGGCGGGGGGTGCTGGCAGAGGGATCAGGTCGTCCCGTCCGTCCCCCCCTCTGCCCAGCACCTCCATGCCAAGGCGGCTGGGAGGGCAGGGCTATTTTTAGGGTGATCGATGCTTTTTGGATCTCCCAGTGATGTCCTTGTCACCCCAAGGCACTTGCAGCTCTGGGCACCCTGCGGGTCCTCCTGCCGGCATCATGGCTGGGGGGCAGCGGGGGATGCAGGGCTGTGGTCAGCGATGGAGCCTGGTGTCCCTGGGGGGGTTCCTCTGCTGCTCCCATTTGCCAGCACCCCATCAGCTCCGCACCCGGCCTCCCTGCCCGCAGGTAACTTGGGCAGCCATGCGGGAAGGGAACACGATGGCGAGTGCCCGCTGGGCAGCCCCGGGGCGGGGGGGGCACCTTCCCTGGCCAGATCCCCCTTGGCTGCATCCCACTGCCCTCCTGGCACAGCTGGGCACCCACGAGCCCGGACACCGTAGAGCTGAGCCCGGTCCGAGCCGTGTGCCGGGCGCCTGTGGCTGTGGGGGGGGGGCCGGCACGTTCACGTGGCGCTGCCCGTGCCGGCGTGGGAGGTGGGCCACGGCGCCCAGGGAGGGGGCTGCGGGTGCAGGTAGCGTGGCAGCCCCCTCCGCCGAGGGAGAATGTGCTTTTCAGGCAGCTGCCTGACTCCTCGCACGCCGCCGGCAGCGCGGGAGTGCGTTGCCAAGGCAATGGGGGACCATCTTACTCATCCTCCTCGCTATTGTTCTCCTGCCAGCGTCAAGGTGCCCGGGTGGGGAGAAAAGGAGGAGGAGGAGGCAGCCGGCCTGGGATGAAGGCTGCCTGCGGGGAGGGGAGGCTGCTCCCCGCGACCCCCCACACCCCCCCAGGCCAGCCCTGGTGGGGACAGGGACATGCTGGGTGCCGAGATGCCGATGGGGACAGGGAGAGCGGCTCTTGGTGGAGCTGAGAGCAGCAAGTGGAAGAAAATGCCAGCAGGATGCGACCCCGCAGCCCCCCCACCCTGCAGCAAAGTCCCAGCCAAGGGATGGGGGACATTTTAGTCCCCCTCCTCTGCCAGGACTTGATCCTGCCTGCAGTGTCCCTTGTCCCACCCAGTGTCCGTGCTCAGGTCTGATCCCACATGATGCAGAGCGGGACGTAAACCCATGCCTACGGCCCAACACCATGCTCCCCCCCCTACTACAGCCAGGCAACTGGGCCCAGTCGGTGCTGCGGGACTGGGACCAGCACACAGAACAGTTGGGACACGCACCGTGAAGTGGGGGCACAGCAGTGCAGTGATACCCCCCCACACCACCCGCCACAGCCACCCCTTGGGGTGCCCGGCAGTGACATGGGGGTGCCCCGCTCTGCCCTGGGGTGAGGGGGGGGGGAGAAAGCAAAGCTTTTGTATTTTATTTCCATATCCTGCCTCCCTATTTTTAGCCTTCAGGGTTTTGTTCCAGCCTGGCTGTTTACTGGAAGGAGCATTTCCAACCTCCCCTGTCTCCAAGCAACCAGGTGTGCCAGCTCCCAAGAGCCTGCCTCACCCTATAGATCTATAGGGTTGGTATGCTGGGGTGCTAACGTTCACCTCAAGACAGGGGAACCCCATCTTGGGGTTAATGTTGGTGCACCCCCACCCACCAACCCCATAGACCCATAGCTCCTGCCAAAGGGCAGGTGTTCCCGGAGCAGGGAGGGGACCCTGACCCTATAGGGTGATGGGGGAGGAATTGGGGTGGGGGGGGGTTGAGGATGCTGGAGGGGTTTTGGGGGGGATGCAGGGATGCAGGGGAGGCGAGCAGGCCGCCTTCCCCCCCCCTC